CCAGTAGATGTTACAGGGGGACGGGAGGGGGAGCTGGGAGTGCAGGTGGGGGGAGATGAGTGGAAGGGAAAGAAGAAAGAGAAGAGAGTTGAGGGAGCAGAGCAACGAGAATGAGGAGCACTAATCCCCCCACCACGATGCCCACGATCGCAGCAGTGGTCATGCCCCCTCTGCCAGTAGACGTTTACAGGTGTCAACGGGAGCGTTGTAAGGCCCCGTCCTCGCTTGGGCGGAGCCAACCTTGTGGTCGGATGTGCGGGGGTTGCAGCCGACATGCAACAGTGGGCACGGGGGCCACTGCAAGGGCGACGAGGACGGCGTCCTGGGAGGCTGGACGCCGAGCTGGGCGTCGTCACGATCACCCGGGCGCCAGGTCGACGTCGTGGGCGTCTGCACGGCGTCCGGGGGTCCGGACGTCGACCTGAGCGTCGGTGTCCCGACACCGACCTGGGTGTCTAGTCGGCGTCCTGGGAGGAAGGACGCCGCTCTGGAGGCTTTGGTCGGCGTCCTGGGCGTCTGGACGCCGACCTGGGGTTCGGAGGGCGTCCTGGGCGTGCCTGGACGCCAGACGGGGGACGCCGGGCATGCGTGGCCGGCTACGGACTGCGTGAGCCGACCAGGCGTGGTTTCCCGGTCGATCGGGATACCCGGGCGATGTGCGCAAGTGTCGCCAGGGTGGAGTCAGCGAGCCGACCTCGGGGGTGGTATCCCGAGGTCGACGTGGCTGGTGGGCACAGTCGCTGGCGTGGAGTCTGCCAGGCGTCTGCGCTGTGCACGTGACAGGGAAGCGTGCACCAACCAGCTGCACGCACCTGCGAAGCAGGTGCACCGTTGCCCTACGGGTGCAGCGCTGTACAGCCGACTTGCTGCAGCGCTGGCACACCGTGGACTTGCAACGTTGGCGAACCGCTACTCTGCAACGCTGGAGCAGTGCGAGCGCTGCTGCGCTGGAGCACGGTCGACCGTGCTGCGTTGGAGGTTGACCAGCACCTAGCTAGCACTGATGTAGTCTAGTGATGCCAATGTTGTTGCTATCATTGTTGTCATGTTTTCCTAGTGAAACTCTTGCTAATTTTTCCCGTGAACCAGCAAGAAGTGTGAACACAAGGAAACGACTAAGTGAACGAACGCAGAGATCACTCGAGCACACGTGCCTAGCCCGTAGCCTAGCTCCCGTTGCAGCAGTTATCTCCGCAACAGGGGGGGTTGGTGGCGGAGCTGGGGTGCAGATGGGAGATAGACGGGGAGAAAGAAGGGGTTGGGGGGGATAAGGAGAGGAGTGTGCGCATGGAAGGAGAGTGCGCATTGTGAAAATTGAAACGAGAATGATTCAACTATGAAAGAGTTGGGTACAAGTACTAACCCTAATTGGGTTGTACCCCATATGGGCTACCCCACTACAGCCTACACAAATGTATAAGCTATATGTTCTGACACACCACCATAGGCAAAGTGGGGGAGAACAAGGGGTCACAAGACCAGCCAAGCAAAGCAAGCCCAGGGTGGATCACAAAGTCACCACACATTCCGAGCACAAGTTCAAGGCCATAAGGCCAGTTCCACATGCAGGATTACATATATATATAAGGCTAGACAAGCAAGAGCAGGTATATATATATATTTAACAGTACAAACAAGGTCAAGGGGGAAGCAAGTGAGGCAAGACAGGCACAAGACCCAGCTGAGTGCAAAAGCGCTGATGATCACAAGACGCAAGTGCCTTGGTGAAAACATCAGCATTGTTGGCCTCAAAGGCCACGTACGCAAGCTGCAACTGACCACGCTGCTGTAGCTCACGAGCAAGGAAGTAGCGGAGAGCAATGTGCTTTGTTCTGTGCTCCAGTCTCTCCTCTCAACACAAGCCAGCATGGCCTTGTTGTCTACGTACAGGACTGGAGGAGAACGAGGCGGCTCTCCAAGGTCGGTCAGCAGGTAGGTGAGCCAGCGAAGCTCCTGTGCAGCCATGCCCCCGGCGTAGATCTCAGCCTCAACACTGAGCCGAGAACAGAAGACGAGCGAGTAGCCCGCCACGAAACAGAGCCGGAAACCAAGGCTGAAGGTGTAACCCTGGGACGAACCGCTGCGTAGCCTGGTCGTCAGCCCAAGAAGCGTCTGCGTGCCCAGTGAGGACCACTGGACTCCGCCCTCCAAGCACTAGCCCCATGCCCGACGTACTGCACAAGTAGCGCAACACCCTCTTACGCTGCAGCCATGTGCTCTGGTCGGTGCTCCCAGGAGCAACATAGCGTTGCAAGAATGCTAAGATGGTATGCAAGGTCAGTCGTGTGCAGGTCATCAGGTACATGAGGCAGCCAACAAGCTCTGGAATATGGGCCACTCGACTCTACGGACTCATCCGAAGGTAGAGCTGAGAGTGAGTGGCGAGTAGGCATAGGAGTGGCCCTGAGGCGAGGAGTACGTGAAGCCGAAGCGCTGAAGGACCTGCTGCACCATGTGTGACTGAGTCAGGGTAATGGTGCGGCGTGCTCTGTCCCGGGTGATCTGCAAGCCAAGGTAGCTGCGCAGTTCCACCCAGGTCAGTGCACGTGTGTCTCTTTTGCAGCTCAGACTTCACGTGGGCGAGTCCAGCAGTGTCAGCTGTGGCAAAGACCAAGTCGTCGACGTACACGAGGATGATAGAACGGCGGGCAGAGAGGTGTCGGTGCGCAAGAAACAGTGACGTGTCGGCAGTAGAAGGAGCAAACCCAAGAGCCGCAAGCGTAGTCCTCAGTGTGTCGTGCCACTCACGTGGCGCCTGGCGGACACCGTAGACTGGACGCCGGAGACTCCACTGGGTACCAGGAGGGAAAGACCCAGTGAAGCCAGGTGGGCGGCGCAGCCAGATCTCCTCGTGCACGCTGCCCTGCAAGAAAGCAGTGCTGAAGTCGAGAGAGTGCAACTCGTAGTCACGGTGAGCAGCAACGTGCAGCAGTACCCGAAGAGTGGTCATCTTCGGGGTGGGGGGAGAAGGTCTGAAAGTAGTCAACTCCCTGCCGCTGACTGAAGCCAGATGCCACGTAACGCGCCTTGAAGACAGGCGGAGAACTCGGCGGCCGCTTCACCCTGGAAATCACATGCCACTGACAATGTTCGCCCCAGGAGGGGGGATAGCGTCAACGTAGGTGCCTGTGGACTTCCAGGAAGCCATCTCTGCATCCATAGCTGCCTGCCACTAAGAGGAGTAGGACCCTCTATCGCCTCCGCGTAAGAGCGCGGAGTCGGGATGTCAAGTGCATCCGGGTCTCCCTCAGGGTAAGCAAGTACGGACACAGAGATGAGGTGAAGCAGCTGCTAGACACTGGGAACTCCTCCTGCTTGTCCTCAAGGACGTCCGTGCCAAGGGCACACTCACCCCCGACGGGACGGAGGACAGACAGACTCAGACCTCAGCGACAAGGACTAGCAGCGTAGTCTAGGCGACAGCGAGCAGCAAAGTCGACGAGCTCAGCAACTAGGGCAGACGCAGCAGTGGACTCGAAAGAAGGGTCAGTGACGACAATAGCCAGGAGACTTGTGACAGTAGGACTGGCAGCACGAAGAGAGTCCGACTCCGGGTCGGCAAAGAGCAGGAAGAGAGGACTCAGGAGGAGAAGGCAAAGGGGCACGCAGAAGAGAAGTGGACGGACGCAGAGACATCCTGTGCGTGCCAGGGACAGGAGGAGGACGCGGACGCGAACCACGACCACTAGCGCGAGCAGCACGGACAGGCGACGTAGGGCGAGACGCAGGCTCACGACGCTCAGCAGGACCCCCAGTAGGACTAGTGTAGGGAGAAGGAGCAGGCAAAGGGGAGGTAGGCTGCAACTGTAACTGTGACGGGACAGGCTGTGGACACTCTAAGGGAGGAGGAGGACAGTAGAAGGTGGAAGACCAAGAACCTGCTGCAGGAGTGGAACGAAGTACGGTCGAGGCCGCGTGGCGACGCGAGAAACAGCAGGGACAGCACCAGTACCTCCAGCAGGAGCACCCGCTCCAGCAGCACCTCCAGCAGCTCCATAACCTCCAACAGTACCAGGAGCACCCCCAGCAGGACCGCCAGTGGTAGTCTCAACGCCAACACCCTCAGCAGCACCAGCTCCAGTCGAACCTGCAGGCCCTGCAGCTCCAGTACTCCCAGGACGAGCACCTCCGGGACCCGCGACAGCAGCACCCTCAGTAGTCGACGAACCTCCAGCACCAGCAGCACGGCTCCAGCGCCGGGCAAACCACTCGCGGAGCTCCTGTGGAGAGAGTGGCTCCCGGCGAGACGAAGCACCCGGAAGAACCTCCAGGCGGAGCACCTCCAGGCTCGGCACCCCCAGGTCCAGCACCCCCAGGCAAAGCACCCCTAGGCGTAGCACCCCCAAGGCTCAGCACCCCCAGGCTCAGCACCCCCGGGCTCAGCACCCCCAGGCTCAGCAGCCCCGGGCTCAGCACCTTCAGGCGTAGCACCCCCAGGCTCAGCACCCCCAGGCTCAGCACCACTAGGCTCACCACCCCCAGTAGCCGAAGAACCTCCAGCACCAGCAGCATGGCTCCAGCGCCGGGCAAACCACTCACGCAGCTCCTGTGGAGAGAGTGGCTCCCGGCGAGACGAAGCACCCGGAGAACCTCCAGGCGGAGCACCTCCAGGCTCAGCACCCCCAGGCCCGGCACCCCCAGGCAAAGCACCCCCAGGCGTAGCACCCCTAGGCTCAGCACCCCAGGCTCAGCACCCCCAGGCTCAGCACCCTCAGCAGCACCAGAGTCACCAGTGACCTCGACAGGCTCGACTGCGTCTACCTGGGACACACCTGAAGGGACAGGACCCTGACGGGGGAGGGGGTCTACCCGGGGGGGACCTGGTACAAGGAAGAGCGGGGGCGGGGGGAGGGACGGAGTGCGGTAGGGGAAGAGGCGGTAGTAGGGGACCGACTCGTCAAACTTGACGTCCTGGGAGGACAGAACACGGCGAGAGGTGGGGTGGTAGAACTGCCACCCCAGGCGCGTCAGGGGGGAACCCCAGGAAGACGCAAGGAGTAGCACGAGGGGACAGCTTGTCCGCAGACAGGTCGCGGACAAACGCCCGAGATCCCCAGACCCGGAACGCCGACGCATCGCCAACCTTCCCCGTCCACAGCAAGGCTGGGGAGGTCTCCGGCCTGGAGACCCTGGGGTGAAGGTTGATCTGATGCGCCGCGTACCTCAACGCAAACGGCCACAGAAAATGGGGGGCAGCCGCATGCATCATAGACGTATGAGCGACGTCCATGACCATGCCAATGTGGCGCTCAGCAATCCCATTTTGCTGCGGAGAGTCTGGAAGCGTGAAGGTCTGACGGATGCCCCGTGCGCGACAGTAGGCTCTCAGAAGGCCAGAGGAAAACTCTCCGCCTCTGTCCGAGTGCTGACGCAGAACAGGAAAGTCCGAGCCAAAGCTCTGCCTGAGCTGGAGACGAGCTGCGCGGATCCAGTCGATCAGCACCTCAGTGACATCACCCTTGCTGCGCAAGGGGAAGACTGCGGTGTAACGCGAGTAGTCGTCAACAACTAGCAGGAAGTAGCGCTCGTGACCCTGTCCACGGACGCGGGCTGGGCCCCACACGTCCATGTGAAGCGTCTGCAACGGGGCCTCTGTCGGAGGAAACTGGGAGGAGTGAGGGGCAGCACGCTGGCGCCCCTCGACACAGGAGACGACACGAACAGGGGGCAGACTCAGGACCAGACCTGGACGCTGCAGCAAACACCTGACCCGACGCAGCTACCCTACCAGACTCAGCAACTGGAGGAGACGCAGTGGTCAGTGTGTACAGGCTCGACCCCGGCCGACGAGTAAACGTGGCCAGGTGTCGGCCTGTCCGAGCGTCTGTGCAGTGGGTCACCCGCTGACTCGCAGGAGTGAACTGGTGAACCCCCGCATCCTGCAGGTCAGCACCACTCACCAAGTTCGTAGAGAACGAGGGGAGGTAAAGACCAGACAGGGTGCCAGAGGGGGCCGCCGGACACGGGAGGACAGTGGAGAAGTGAGCAAGGACAGGACCCCCAGAGGGGTCTGCCAGAGAGACTGCAACTGGCCGACCAAGCGGCGTGAGTGTGGTGCGGTCTCGAAAGAAGGAGCGGGAAGCCCCCGAGTCAAGGGTGAAGGTGTGAGAGGCCGGAGCCGACGCGGTACCTGAGAGAGCAGACTCACCCGCACCTGAGGAAGCAGACTCACAAGCACCTAGAGCAGCAGCCGCACCTGTACCTGGAGCAGGAGACACACTAGCACCCAGAGCAGCAGCCGCACCAGCAGCTAGAGCAGCAGGCTCTATACCCGGGTCAGGCGGTACGCACAGGTGACCGGCACGGTCAGCACTAGTAGGCAATGCATACATGGCAGTGAGAATAGCATCATAGTCAAGAGCAAATATATCTACCCTCTGCCTAAGCAACTCCACCCAGTCGGGGAGCTCAGCCTCGTCGCCAAACTCGGTATGCCAGGCGTCGCTCAGACGGGCGAAGGACGGTGTGTGACTAGGCGTCCCACAAGGCTGACCAGTCCGAGCACCAGTGCGAATCACGTAAGAGCAGTGAACAGATCTGAGAGACCCTCTACTCTGAGCGTACCACTCACGAAGCTGCTGGGGCGTGAGAGACGCGCGTGGGCGTCGCTGGAGCTGCATCTGGCCGCCGCCAGTAGAAGCAGGAGCAGGAGTAGCAGCAGTAAGGCAGGCAGCCAAGCAAGCAGCAGGCAGCGCGCTAGTAAGTCAGGGGCTCACCAGTGGTGGGAAGAGCAGGCTCGACGACTCGGCGACTCGGCGACTCGGCGGCACGGCGGCACTGCAGCAACTGCGGCTCGGCGGCTCGGGCGACTCGGGCGGCTCGGCTGCTCGGGCGACTCGGGCGGCTCGGCGGCTCGGCGGCTCGGTGGTACGGCTGCTCGGCAGCAACTGCAGCTTGGCGGCTCGGCGACCCGGCGGCTCGGGCGGCTGAGGTGGCGCTGCGGCTCGGGCGGCTCGGGCGGCTCGGGTGGCTCGGGCGGCTCGGGCGGCTCGGGCGGCTCGGGCGGCTCGGGCGGCTCGGGCGGCTCGGGCGGCTCGGGTGGCTCGGCACTAGCTCGGCGGCGCCGACGGCTCGGTGGTGACGGCGGGGCCGCTTGGGGACGGCGGCGGGGCCGGGTGGAGCGGCGACGGGGCCAGCAGAGGCGGCGCCGGGGCCGGCAGAGGTGGAGCCAGGGCCGCAGGGGCAGGCGACGGGGGCCAGCTGAGGCGGGGCCGGGTCGGTGCAGGGCTGCGGGGCCGCAAGGGAGGTGGCGGGGCCGCGGTGAAGAATGGCGGCAGGGGCCGCGACGAAGGGCGGGGCCGCGACGAGAGAGGCGGGGCCGCGACGAAGGGCGGGGGTCGCGACGAGAGATGGCGGGGGCCGCGACGAGGGGTGGCGGGGCCGCGACGAGGGGCGGGGCCGCGACGTAGGGCGGGGCCGCGACAAGGGGCGGGGCCGCGAGGAGAGAGGCGGGGCCGCGCGCCTCGGGGCGCGCGCCAGAAAGAAAATCGCCGCTCGCAGACGCCGCGGGGCGTGCGACAGATCGGGTAGCAGCGGAAGCAGTAGTAGGGCCTTAGGAACAGTTCCCACGAGGGAACCTGCTCGATACCATGTGAAAATTGAAACGAGAATGATTCAGCTATGAAAGAGTTGGGTACAAGTACTAACCCTCATTGGGTTGTACCCCATATGGGCTACCCCACTACAGCCTATACAAATGTATAAGCTATATGTTCTGACACGCATGGAAGGAAAATGGGTGAGAGGGAGGGCATTCGGAAAGAGCAGAATAAAAGGGGTGTGAGAGAGCAGAGCAATGAAAGAGGGGGCTGCCACTCCCCCCACCACCACATAGCCCACAATAACAGCACCAGTCATGCCGCTGCCTCCAGCGGTCATGCCACTGCCCCCAGCGGTTATGCCGCTGCTCCCTCCTCTCACCTGCCCCATACAGACCTACCTATCCCAGTTTCCACCTCCCCCAGGTCCCACATGGGCCATCATGGCCTCGACAGTGTAAGGCCCAAAGTCGGTCCCCAGCCTAGCAGCACCATGTGGAGTGGAATCAGGAGCATGTTGCCCGGTACACACCTCCCCCAGTTTCCACCTCCCCCAGTTCTCACCCGTCTCACGTCTCACTTGCCCCATACATGGCCTCGACAGTGTAAGGCCCAAAGTCCGTCCCCAGCAGCACCTTGTGCCACACAAACGCCTCCCTTATCTCCTGTGCCTGCTGCCACTCAGAGATGCTAGTGCTGCTGCTGCTGTTGTTGTTGCTGTCAGGGGTGGTGGTGGCGGTGCTGCTACTGCTGCTGCTAGTGCCGCTGCTGCTGCTAGCGCTGCTGCTGCTGCTACTGCTGCCGTAGCTGCTACTGCCGTCGTAGCTGCTGCTGCTGTCGTAGCTGCTGCTGATCTTGCTGCTAGTGCTGCTGCTGCTGCTGGCAGGTGTGCTGGTAGCAGTAGAGGAGGAGGAGGAGGGTGGGGGGAAGAAGCGGATGGAGGTGCTGATGGTGGAAGGGGAGAGGATAGACCCGGTGACTGACACAATATCGATCTGTTGTGGGGGTTGGGGTGGGGGGAGTGGGGGAGAATGAAGGGGGAAGGGGTAATGGGGAAGAAGCGGATGGAGGTGCTGATGGTGGAAGGGGAGAGGATAGACCCGGTGACTGATACTATGGCGATCTGTTGCGATGGGGTGGGATGAAGCGAACAAAAAGAGGAAAGGCGAAGAAAGGAAACTGGGGAAAGTGGAAGGAGAGAAGATTGAGTTGGAGACTGGCTGACACAAGGGCGATCTGCCATGGGGGGGTTGGTGGGAAGGATTGCGTGGGGGGGAAAGGGGGAGGAGAGGGGGAAGCGGGGGAAGGAGGAGGAAAGGGAAGAAGCGAGTAGTGGCACGTGAGAGGATCGACCCGGTGAGTGACTGTATGGCGATCTAATGTGTGGGCGGAGGGGAGAAGGTGAAAAAAGGGAACACACTAGCCACCAATCCTACCTGTCTCCCACCTATCACAGTGCCTACCTATCACAGAACCCGCCTATTAAAATTCACATGCCAACACTCCCACCTGCCAACCCTCCCGTCTGCTACCTCCCAACCTACCTGTCCCGACGAGATGCCAATGCCGGTGTGGTTTGCCAGTGTGCAATTTCGACTCATAATGCACCTGCCAGCACTCTCACATGCCAACATGCTAATGCCGGCGTGTTTTGGGTCGCCTCAAAATGCACCTCCCAACAGTCCCACCTACCGACACTCCCACCTGCTCCTACCTAACCTACCTGCCCCGTCGATATGCCGATTCCATTCTTCCCTAAGCTCCCCGCAATCCTCTCTACAAGCAGACTCGCGAGTTCATCATTAAACACCGCATACTGCGGCGCAGTGAGCTTCAACTCCACCTCTAGCGGCGAGACGCACACACAGGCGTTGGTAAGCGCGAGCAGGGGTGGGCTGGGCGCGTAAAGAGAGGGGCAGGAGAGGTCGTCGCAAATGGGAGGGGGCTGGTACTGCATGAAGCCAAGAGGAGGCGAGCAAGCGGCACTGACTGCAGGGCGGTAGGGCACACACAGGTCGTTGCCGTATAGCCTGGAGGAGGGATGGGAACGGAGAGAGGCCCAAATTTCAGCTTAGAGAGAGAAAAGGAAGGCGGCGCAGTGAGCTTCAGTTCCACTTCCAGTTGTGAAACGCACATACAGGCATTGGTCAGCGCGAGCAGGGGTGGGCTGGGCGCGTAGAGAGAGGGGCAGGAGAGGTCGTCGCAAATGGGAGGGGGCTGGTACTGCATGAAGCCGAGAGGAGGCGAGCAGGCTGCAGTGGCTGCAGGGCGATAGGGCACACAGAGATCATTGCCGTATAGCCTGGAGGGAGGGGATGGAAGGAGGAAAAGAAGGCTCACTGGTGACAAAGTGAGTGAGCGAGCCAGCAGGCGCACGGGTTGAGTATCTGAGGGTTGAGTATCTGAGGGTTGAGTCAAAACTCACTGCAGAGTGACGTTTTTGTTGCTGAGCAGAGCAGCAGGCGCATGAGTGTAGTGGTTGTCACGCGGTGAGCAAGTGAATGAGAGGATGGGTGAGAATATGCGCGACCAGGTGTTTGTTGCAACTCACTGCAGAGTGACGTTTTCGTTGCTGAGCAGAGCAGCAGGCGCACGGGTGAAATGGTTATCAAAGAGGGAGATGGTGGCGATGGCAGGGAGCATGTCTAGAGGAGGCACGGGGCCCGTGAGTTTGTTGTCTGATAGCATACTGGGAGGAAGAAGACAAGGGAGAGGGCAGAAGGAGAAGGAGCAGCAGTCGCACGGGTGAAGTGGTTGTGGAAGAGTGAGATGGTGGCGATGGCAGGGAGGGCGTCTAGTGGAGGTACAGGGCCCGTGAGATCATTGTCTAATAGCATACTGGTAGGGGAGAGAGGGAGGGTGGGGAAAGGAGAGGGGGTGAGAGAGGGAAGCAGGACAGGGAGCGCGTCTCGAGGAGGCACAGGGCGTGTGAGATCGTTGTGTGATAGCATGCTGGGAGGGGAGGGGAGGGAGATGGTGGCGATGGCAGGGAGAGGGTCTAAAGGAGGCACAGGGCGTGTGAGATCGTTGTGTGATAGCATGCTGGGAGTGGAGGGGAGGGAGATGGTGGCGATGGCAGGGAGAAGGTCTAAAGGAGGCACAGGGCGTGTGAGATCGTTGTGTGATAGCATGCTGGGAGGGGAGGGGAGGGAGATGGTGGCGATGGCAGGGAGAGGGTCTAAAGGAGGTACAGGGCGTGTGAGATTGTTGTGTGATAGCATGCTGGGTGAACGAAGAGAAGCGATAAGGTAGAAACGGGAGTAGAAGGGGACTGAGCAGCAGGAAACGGGGTCGCAGGAGAGGTGGCAGCAGAAAAGACGACAGCAGAAGAACAGAGCATGGGAGTGGCGTATGAGAGAGGGGGGGTCGCACATGGAGTGGAGGAGGCATGTGAGGTTGGCGGGTGAGAGCATGGGAGGGAAAATGCTGCTCCATAGATATTTTTAGGTTGAAAGTGAGAGTAGTGAGAGTGGTATGGTGTATGGGATGGGATGAAATGAGAGTGATGGGGTCTCACATGGAGTGGAGGCGTGTGAGGTTGGCTGAGGGCAGCCCGGGAGGGAGGTTGCCGTTGAGATGGTTCAGGGCGAGATTGCTGCGACGCGCACAAGGGGAGGGGAGGGAGAAGAGGGGTGGAAAGGGAAGGGGAGGGTAGGGGAGGGGAGGAGGTTGAGATGGTTCAGGGCGAGGTTGCTGCGACGTGCACAAGAGGTGCATGCGGGGAAGGGGCGGGAAGGGAGGAGAGCACGTGGGGAGATGGGGATGTGTTGACATGTGCAGCACTGCAGAGGCTTGGAGCATGCTGGCATGGCGATGGCGATGGCGATGGGGATGGGGATGTGGATGGGGATGGGGATGGGGATGGGGATGGGGATGGGGATGGGGATGTCTTGACATGTGCAGCATTTCAGGGGCTTGGAGCATGCTCGTCAGGCAAGGTGAGAGAGCTAAGGCAGGCAAACGGGGTGAGATGTGGTGCAATGCATGGTGCACTCACAGGGTTACCAGGTCAGGGTGTGTGGTGAAGAGAGCAAGGGGCAGGGGGCCTTGGAAGTTGTTTCGACTCAAATCCCTGAGGGGGGTGGAAGGGGGACGAGAGGCAAGAGAGAGAGGGAGGCGGGGTGCATGGTGAAGAGAGCAAGGGGCAGGGGGTGTTGGAAGTTGTTGCGACTCAAATCGCTGGAAGTGGCAAAACGGCAAGTGGGGAGGGAGGAGGAGGGAATGCAAGGGGGGGTTGCGAATGATTGTTGATAGGGCACAGGCAGCAGGCTTTGGAAGCTTGTCTGTTGTGAGGGGAGGTTAGGTAGTAGAGTGGGCAGAGGGCGAGAGGAGGGGGGAAAAGGTGGGGAGAAGGGGGAAAAGGTGCGTGGAGGGGGGAAAAGGTGGGGGGAGGGGGGGAAAGGTGGGGGTGGGGGGGGGAGGGATGGGGAGGTTGCAAATGAGTGTTGAATAGGGCAAGGGATAGGGAGCTATAAAAGGTGTTGGCAACTCAAATCGCGAAAGGGGTTCAAGTCAAGGGAGAGGGTTTGACAGCGGGACTAACGAGCAGAACATAGTGACAAGCTCTGAGGAAACTCAAAGCGCGATGACTTTTGAGTCGACTCAGAAGGTTTGACATTGGGAGCAAAGAGCAGAACATGGTGACAAGTTCTGACTTTTGAGTCCACTCGAAAGTCACCTCGAGAGGGTTTGACATTGGGACTAAAGAGCAGAACATGGTGACAAGCTCAGGGGCACCTCAAAGCTCGGTGGCGAAAAGGGGGAAGAACAAGGTGGGAAAAGGGAGGAGCGGCGCGTGCATGGATGTTGTTGTGACTCATTTTTTTGGCGCCTAAAAAATTATTGTGAGTCAAATTTTTTAAAGGAGAGAGCAGAGGAGGGAGACGAAAGAGGGTAAGAGGCAGAGGGGGATGAAATAAAGGAATATGAACGATGGTGTGACTAGAATCGCTGTGAAGAGGTCAAGGAAGAGGAAAGAGGAGAAAGGGCAGGAGGCAGAGAGGGGCGAATAAATGACTGTCGAAGAAACAAGGGCTTATAGACTCAGATATTTCAGAGAATGGAGCTTTACTTTTGAGAATTCTCAAAAGTAAAATTCACATGTGTGGAGAGTTTAGGCGTCGGCTCAAAAGTCAACTAGAGGGGGGCGGATAAATGTCTGTCGAAGAAACAATGTTTACAGACTCATAGACGTCAGAGGATGAAGTGTGGAGAGAGTAGGGGAGGGCGTACAAGTAGCAGAGTGATGGGAGGTCTGTCAAAGGCGGCAGTGGTTGGGGCTGCATGGAGCAATTGTGCATCGACCTGCGTGTGTGTATGGAGGGGAGGGGGGGAAGGGGGAGAGGGTTAAGGGGGAGAGGGGGAAGGGGGAGAGGGGGAAGGGATGCAGTGAGGGAAGGGGGGTGCGTGGCTGCTGAGTTAGAGGGTGGTATGGAAACCGGGGTGGGACAATGGTGAAGAAGTTTTGAGGCGTTTCAAGAAGCAGTTGTGCAGGGTCGAGCATGCATGCATGGAGGAGCGGAGGAGCGGGGGATGGAGGTGGTGGTAGGAGGTTGAGGAGCGGACACTTGGAGTTTTGTGATTGGAGCACTCACAGGTCTTGCAGTGCTGGGAGGTTGAGCGACGGAGGAAGCCGGCCCTGAATGGTGTTGTTTCTCAGATGGCTGCCACGTGGCACACAGTGATTCGAGGACGAGAGGGGCAAACAGGAAACGCAGTCAGCTGATTTTGTTAAATTCAAACAGGACCACTTCGATTCGCCATTAAAAAAAAAAAAAAAAAAAAAAAAAAAAAAAAAAAAAAAAAACACACACACACACACACAAAAAAAAAACAAAAAAAAAAACAAAAAAACAAAAAAAAAAAACACGCTTACCAAGCACACTGGATTTTCTGAGATTTCTCAAAAAATCCCTGCAACGTATGCGAAGCTGGCATGTCACTAACAGCATTTTCAGCAAATTCCCGACAGGCAGAGAGCACAAGTCTCAAGGCATCCACAACGTGCTTTCATCATATGTGTGTTAACTGACATAGCATAAAGTTATGCCTGCCCTCACATGATCTGCAGGCTGCTGGAGCCACGGAAAGGTCTTGAGACATCTCAAAACACTTCTTCTATCACGTCTCTCACATGATCTGCAGGCTGGTGGAACCACTGAGGCCTGCCGGAAAGGTCTGGTTGAGTCGGTTGTTGTCCACTAGGCTGGTGGGGTGGAGGGGAGGGAAGAGGGGGATGAGAGGAAGGAGGGGGTGACTAATGAGTCGACTAGAAAGCCTGCTAAAAAGCCACTGAGGCCTGCCGGAAAGGTCTGGTTGAGTCGGTTGTTGTCCACTAGGCTGGTGGGTGACGGGGAAGAGTGACAGGGAATGGGGGGAGTGGGTGAGGAGAAGGGGAGGGGTAAGCAGGCAGGGGTGAAAAAATATATGGACCTGAATGGAATCGAGCCCTACAGGAAAGGCGGGACCTGAATGGACCTGAAAGGTCTGGTTGAGGCGGCTGCTGTCGACGAGGGCGGCGGGTGGAGGGGGGGACAGGGATGGACAGACAAGGGCAGGAGGCGGAAGATGAGAATGGGCGTGAGTTGAAGAAGGCGTGCGTGCATGCGCGTTCGTGTGTATGTATGGCCCCATATCAACTGGGAGTGCAGCCACAACGGGGATGGCTTACAGGTGGATGAGGTTTGGGAGGCATCCCAGTTCCCCTGGAACGTATGTTAGCTGGTTGCGACTCAGGTGCCTGGCAGGGGGGAAGAGCAAGGAGAATCCGAAAAAGAAGGGCGGAATGGGTGGATGGTGGAAGGAAAAGGAGGGATGGTACGATGAGATGAGCGAAGGCTTCACTGGTGTGCCCTGATGACTCTTGCAGAGAGGCGAGGAGATGCGGACAAGAATGGCCGGCTAGAAGCAACAACAGGACCAGAGGCAATGCATGCATGCTGGCGTGAGTTTTGAGGCGCCTCAAAACTCACAACAACAGGACCAGATGCTATGCAGGTCAGCAACAAGACAACACGTTTCTAGTTGACTTGGCGAGAAGCAACCAAGGGAAAGGGAGCCAGGCAAGGGGGGGTACGCACAGGTGGCCGATGCTGGTACACGTGTCGAATCCTGGTTGGACGGGCACAGGCCCTGAGATGTTGTTGTCTGTGATGTCAAAGAAATAGAGGCTGGTTAGATTCGCCACCTGCAGTAGGCGGGGGGAGTGCGAGTGGGATGAAAGGAGGGCAAAAGGATTCAGACACAATAGTTTCTGTGGTATCGGTTGTCTGTGATGTCAAAGAAATAGAGGCTGGTTAGATTTGCCACCTGTGCAAGAAGGAGGAGGGGAGGAGGGTGTGGGAAGAAGATGAGACAAAGGAGTATGCAGTTTGGCAAAAAAAAATCTTGGGTGCTGCTAGTGTTGTTAGTGTTGTTACTGTTGTCAGTGTTGTTAGTGTTGTTAGTGCTTTTAGTGTTGTTAGTGTTATTAGTGTTGTTAGTGTTGTTAGTGCTATTAGTGCTGTTAGTGTTATTAGTGTTGTTAGTGATGTCAGTGTTGTTAGTGATGTCAGTGTTGTTAGTGATGTCAGTGTTGTTAGTGATGTCAGTGTTGTTAGTGATGTCAAAGAACCAGAGGTCTGTTAGATTCGCCACCTGCAGCAGCGGGAAAGGAGCGGATGGTGCAGTGAGGTATTCACCTGTCTGGGAATGCTGCTGGAGAGTTGATTGCTGTTGACAGCAAAGAAGTTGAGATTCCTCACAAGGCTGATGGTTGCAGGGCTGGGGTGGGATGGGAGTAGTGTAGTGCGGTGAAGTACGGTACGCACATGTCTAGGGATGCTGCCAGAGAGCTGGTTGCTGTTGACAGCAAAGAAGTTGAGCTTTCTTAAGAGGCCGATGGTTGCAACTTGAAGGGATGGTGATGTGAATGGTTCTGTGCGGTGAAGTACGGTGTGTACCTGTCTGGGAATGTTGCCGGATAGCTGGTTGCTGTTGACAGCAAAGAAGTTGAGCTTTCTTAAGAGGCTGATGGTTGAAGGTATGGATCCTGACAGGTTGCATCCGTGCATGTCCCTGGTGGAATGAGATTCAGTGCGGTGGATTGTAATAGAGAGGGATAAAAGAGGATATAGAAGAGAGAAAGTGGGATTGGGAAGGGGAGTTGGGCATTGGCGGTCTGTGTACATGCTTGTCCCTGGTGTTTCCGATCCAGCGTATTGAAGTGCGATGAAGTGCGGTAGAGAAAGGTGCAAAGAGAGGTGGTAGTAACAGTGTAAGGGAGCGGCAAAAGCGAGCGATTTATTACAGGGTATATTCACTCTTAGCATGGAGATGATGTTGCTGCTGCCGTGCTTATGGCAGAAAGGCTAAACGGCAGTATGTGAAATAAACGCTAGAGCAACAAGATCAAGAGGGTACCCGGATCAAGAGGGGAGCGCCAACTCACAGCATGGAGAGTTCTGAAAGAGCGCTGATGGTGCTGTATATGCTGCCTGTGAGCGCTGGGTTGAGAGAAATGTCCCTGGGAGGGGGGGAGAGGGTAAAACGGGTGTGGGTGGAGACATTGCAGGGGAGAAGGAGGCAAGGGGACATCTCGGGCGCCTCAGAGGTCGGAGAATGAGCTGATGGTGCTGTATATGCAGCCTGTGAGGGCTGGGTTGAGTGTAATGAGGTTTTGAGTCGACTTAAAAATGAGCCGATGGTGCTGTAAATGCTGCCTGTGACAGCTGGGTTGAGGGATATGTCCCTGGGAGACGGGAGGGGCAGCGCAATAGAGTTTGAGACGTCTCAGTACCGACCGAGTTGGCTTCCACTGCGATTACAGGATAGCTCAACTAAAGAGCTACATCTTGCGTATGATTGTAAGCACGTACAGAGGTTCAAGTACTGTGCCTATAAGCCCATCAGAAGGGGTATAAATGAGGCGGTCTATAATGCGTATGAGCTTCTGAGAAACTACTATCGGGCCACAGGCTGTGCCTAAAAGCCTGTCAGAAGGAGTGTAAACGAGCCGAACTATAAGGCGTACAGGCTTTTGAGTGCCGTTAGCTCAAAGAGAGCTGGCGGAAGCTGCCCGGAAAGTCCCAACCCTTGCAGTGTCCTGCCAACACGAATAGTGGGGGAAGGGATTCGGGGGAGTGAGGGAGGGTGTGAGAAGAAGGGAAGCGGAAGAGGAGCAGTGGAAAGGGGAGTGGGAGGGTGAGGGGCGGGGGGAAGGTACAGCTTATAGGACCGAAGTAGGAGACGGATATCATCAAAAGCAGAGTGGAAAATGGAGGGGAGAGGAGGATGGGGGCAGTTGGTTTGGGAGGGGTGAGAGGAAGATGAGAGGGGTGAGAGGACCAGCAAGGACGAGGTGAATGTTGTGAAGTTTGGCAAGGAGGCGAAACAAATATTGGAGCGGCTGACAGCGATATGACCAGAAATGTTAGCACTCATACAGATGTAACCACTCATACAGATGTAACCACTCACAACGCTATAACCACATGGTTGCCCGAACCGTCACTCTCACAGGTAACCCCCTGCCAGCCCTTGCTGCTGGGACCAGCAGCAGCACCACAACCACCGCCACCACCACCAGGAGCAACGGCGACGCAAGGGTCGTTTCCAGACCAGGCGTGGAAGAAGGGGTTGGAGGAGGTGAGGGTCGATGCTATGGTGTAAAGAGCGGCCACTGGCAAGGGAAGGAGATGGGAGAGGAGGAGAGGGAGACAGGTTACAAGGGGTAGAAGGAGTCGTTTCGGCGTGGACGAAGGGTTGGAGGAGGTGAGAGACGATGCTATGGTGTGCAGAGCGGCCACTGGGAGGGGGAAAATGGGGAGAGGAGGCGAGGGGAAGATGAAAGAGCTTTTGAGGCGCCTCAAGGCATAGAAGCAGCAGCAGCAGAGGAGGCAGCAGCGGGGACAGCAGCAGGGACAGCAGTAGCAGCAGCAGCAGCAGCAGCGGGGGCAGCAGCGCAAGGGTCGTTCCCAGCCCAAGCGTGGAAGAAGGGGTTGGAGGAGGCGAGGGACGAAGCTATGGTGTGAAGAGCGGCCACTGGGAAGGGGACGAGGGGGAGAGCGAGAAACGGAGAGGAGGAGAAGGTGAGAAGGGACGAAAGGGAGAGGGGAGTAGGGGAAGAGGGGGAGAGGGGAGGATGGGAAGAGGGGGAGAGGGGAGGATGGGAAGAGGGGGAGAGGGGAGGATGGGAAGAGGGGACGAGGGTGATGGGGAAGACGGGGAGAGGGGGAGAGGGTGTCGAAGAGAGGGGGGGTGTAGGGAGAAGGTTGGTGTGGCTCAGGAAGAACCAACAAGCGGGCCGACCTCAAGAACGGGCCGACCTCAAGAACGGGCCGACCTCAAGAACGGAAAACTGGGCATCTATCCGTTTTACCAGTTTCGTTAGAGATTTCTAGATTCGTCTCAGGACAGGCATTTGGAGTGAGCAACGCAGAAGGAACCAAAGGAATCTTAGAGTAGACCCAGGACATGGAGGAGAGGAGGGATGGAGCCGTGACGGTGCTAAAACTTTCCGTCCTTGAAGGACGGGGTCTGAGACGGAGGGACGGGAAGAAGGAAACGGGGCGATTGAGTCGACTCAAAGAACGGAGGAGTGTACGAACTCCGTCGGATGGTGCTAAGGACGGCAACTGGAAGGGAGGAACGCACTTGTGGGCAGCAAGGAATCGAGGATGATGCCAAATGGCTGTCAGAATGGTGGTTACATCCGTCAGAAGGGTGGTTACATCCGTCAAAAGGGTGGTTACATCCGTCAGAAGGGTGGCTACATCTGTCAGAAGGGCGGTTACATCCATCAGAAGGGTGGTTACATCCGTCAGAAGGGTGGTTACATCCGTTAGAAGGGTGGTTACATCCGTCAGAAGGGTGGTTACATCCATCATAAGGGTGGTTACATCCGCCTAAGTTATCCGTGTGGTGAGAACCACCGCGTGGTCACTCTTTGTTTGCAAACAAGAAAGGGCTTAGCAGCACCAAGAGCGACGCGCACAGGCGCGAAATGGACGGAACGCGACCCGTGGAAAGGGCACGGTGGAAGGGATACGTGCAAGGAATGCGGTGGAAAGGACATGGCGGGAAAGACTCTTTGCTTTGGCTGCATATTGTCGCAAGGACGAATGTGATCTTGTAAATGACCATTCTCGACTAAACGAGGTGACTTTTGAGTCGACACAGAAGGGAGGGAAGCTTTGCCTGGGCTACATACCCTCGCAAGGATGAAGGTGACCTTAGCGACATTCGCAGATGACTATTCGCGACTTAACAGCGTGCTCATGACTCATGAGAGATTGTGAGATTCTTGGTCGGAATACCCGACTATCGTGGAAAGGACGCCATGGATGTCAGACTGTAGTCTGTCGCTATTCCCGTTAAAAGCACGGAAAGGATTCACCTTGAGCACGGCTTCTGCAGTTGCGGGCTGCTCCAGGGGGGGGCTGCTGCAGATGAAAGGTAGGAGGGAGGGGAGGGGAAGGGCGCGGCCACCAGGGCGCCCCGACGGGCGACGAGCTAGGGAGCCGCGCGGGCCCCCGAGAGCGCCTCGACGGGCGACGGGAGGGGACCACGCGCGGGCCCCCAAGGCGCCGCGACGAGGCGACGGTTGGGGCCGGCGCGCGGCCCCCAAGGCGCCGCGACGAGGCGACGGGAGGGGCCGGCTCGCGGGTCCCCAAGGCGCCGCGACGAGGCGATGGGAGGGGCCGGCTCGCGGGCCCCCAAAGCGCCGCGACGAGGCGACGGTTGGGGCCGGCGCGTGGGCCCCCTAGGCGCCGCGACGAGGTGACGGGAGGGGCCGGCGCGTGGGCCCGCAGGGCACCGCACGAAGCAGGAACACGCCGCGCGCCTCGGGGCGCACGGCGGGCAGAAAACCACCACGCGCCCGGAGCACGTGGCGGGAAGAAAAATAGGAGGTTGCGCGCCACGAGGCGCGCGACACACAGTAGGGCAGCGGAAGCCATAGCTAGGTTTTAGGGTATATGAAAGAGAAATAGGAGAAGAAGTGATTGAACTAGAAAGGAGAGGGATACATGTAGCAAGCCCAAAAAGGTTATACTCACTTTTGAGTACCCCACTACAGACTAGACAAGCATTATAATCTGGCATAAAGCCAAGATAATATCTCTTGCATGCCTAGGGTTTGCTTGCTAAAATCTTGCACATGCCTTGCTTGTACCCCATATACACATTAATGAAGGACCGCTTGAGAGAGAGAGAGAGAGAGAGAGAGAGAGAGAGAGAGAGAGAGAGAGAGAGAGAGAGAGAGTGTGTGTGTGTGTGTGAGATAGAGAGAGAGAGAGAGAGAGAGAGAGAGAGAGAGAGAGAGAAAGAGAGAGAGAGAGAGAGAGAGAGAGAGACCACGTCACCCCTGCTTGGCTTGCAGCAGAACAGGGAAGGTAACCATATAATGGGCAACCCAATTGGGTTGCCAGGCTTCTGCTCCTCCCACCCCCAGACCCGGCTGAATGAAGCGTCCGCACCGATACCTCTAGTGTCCCGGCTACACCTGCAGAGCGCCATGCTGGTCTTCCCAAGGAGCATCAGCCGCAGGTTCTCTTACCTGCTGTGGACAATACCCGCGGATGTCCTGGAGAGGGATGACTAGAGAAACTGGATTGAGACCCTTATGGCAGCGGCTATTGAACCATATAGGAAGCATGCCATATGGCCAGGCACATCCGCCTTGGATCCGAAAAGTGCAAAGACTCGGGGGATTTCGAAGCTTGAAAAAAAGTGTAAACTTAAAGATAGTGAGAATGGTTATATTGCTTTATGTAGTGTAACATTTCTCTTGTTTAGGCCCTTGTGGTGGGTACTTTTGAGACCCTTCTTCACATGGTGTGGCACTGTTCCACATCACTGTACCTCGGCTCTTCGGGTTTGTAGAGGTTGGGAGTCATTCCCAACTCCTAATTTGTGTTGTAAGACTTAAGTGGCTGCCATAGTGCCGTCCGTTCAAATTGACGTTGCATCATCAATACTTGATTAAATCGTGCGATTTGAATTTTTTTCTGTAAACGACGTCAAAACGCTTCAGATCCAATTTGAAGCATTGAATAGAATGCTATGAACATTCAAATCTGCTGTGCAGAAATCCGACAGTGCACTATATCTTTCGTTTTAGGCACATTTGAGCCTATTGTGGTTATAACAAGTGGTATCAGAGCACATTGGAGTAGCTTCGACAAAGTCTGAACCTGAAGAAAGGGGTGGCAGAAGTGAAGGTGCCAGTGGAGAAGCCCACGCACAAGGTCAACCTCGTGATTCAGCCATGACACCCGTGCAACCTGCTCTTGGAGCTTCTAGGGATGAACCAAGAGTGTTCGGCCTTGGCAAGTTCAACGTGACGATTTCGTATAGTGGTCCTTCAAGATGGAGAATATATTAGACCATTATGATTAGCTGGAGGTGATGGGAGGACCAAAGAAGCACCTCGAGAACGACCCGGAGAAGAGCCCGTGGGTGCAGAATAGTGCACAAGGCTACCTCCTACTTGGGCAAGCATTGGAGAGCAGCCAAATACGTCACATCAAGCCATTCCGGCGTGAACCAGATAAAGGACCAAAGGCATGGGATGCTCTCAAGGGTGTACACGCTCCTACAACAGCGGCGATAGCTGTGGTGTTGGAACGGCAAATGGCGGCACTACAAATTGAAAAAAAAAGAATCAATTGAAGAAGGGATGCAGAAATTCTTCAACTTGTTAATGCGGCTTGAGGAAGTTGATTTGAGCTATAATGAGCTCCAAAACAAGTCAAATTGCTGGTCTTTATCCTCAAATCATGGTCCTCACTCATCATCAACTTGAATCGTGATCTGCCCCACGTCTCGCTTGAAGACGTGAAGCATGCAATCCTTCAAGAGGATGTCCTCCGCCGTGAGTTTGCGAGTGCGGATGGCGCCGGGGCAGCAAGCATCAGCCGGAGGTTCGGCCGTGGAAGGGGCACAAGACGAAGGGGAGGCAGGTTTGGTGGCAGCAACTATAATGGAGGCCACGAGAATGGCGGATACGACAACGACAAAAAGAGCTACGGACGTGGGCGTGGCCGATTCGACGGCGAGTGTCACCATTGTCACCAGAGCGGACTCATGTGGCGCGATTGCTTCAAACTCTTTGATGGATGTACTCCTGCTCAAAGCCAAGAGGGTAGAGGAGCAGGGGGAGGGAGAAGCAAAGGTCGTGGAGGCCATGGCGGTCGCGGAGGTGGTGCTGCAAATATGAAAGTCGAGTGACAATCGCTTCCCGAGCCAATTCTTCTTCGTCTCGACGCAAGCACCGGCTGCACCAGAGAAGGATGAAGGCTTTGATGAGCCAGCTGCACCAGAGAAGGATGAAGGCTTTGATGAGCCAGCTACTGTGGAAAAGGTTACCCTACACTCCCTCAACTATTGGGTGGTCGATAGCGGTGCTACCTATAGCATGACACCTTGCGCGGACTGGCTCACCAAGCTTGAACTGTCACCGGTGAAGCTTGTCACATCAGCTTTGGGGCAGCGGGCAGAGGTGAAAGGCATGGGCAAGTCCATGTTCAAAGGTGTTTATGGGAAGATGGTGGGCCTCAAATATGCTTTGGGTGCCCAACCTTGCTGCGAACCTGATTTCCGTGCAGAGGTTGCAAATGGTCGGCATAGACACGAGGTCGAAGGCGCCCAAGACCTACACCACCAGGCTTGACAAGCGGATTCTATGGAACCTTCACGAGGATAGGGATGTGTATAACGAGATGTGGCAGATCCCTATGGTCCCAATGTCTAAGGAGAGGCAAGTTGCAGCAAGCGTCAGCACCAAGGGTGAAGCAGTTGGTAACGGCTATGGTGCGAACGATGGTTCCAAGGAGAATGAGCCTAAGAAGTGCAATCTTGGAGGGACCAGCAAGTTGTGTGAGCTTAAGGAGAGACGTGCAGCAGCCAAGGAGCAACAAAAGGGTGAGGAGAACTCCAAGGCAGTAGCGGAGGAGAGCGGAGAGAGCATGTGGGGCACTATTGCGAGTGCGGCATTCTTCAATTCGACTTTGGTGACGGGGGAGTGTGATTCGCTCACCTTGCATCAGCGCATGGGGCATGTGGCATTGCCTATCTTGCAGTAGCTAGTGAATAATGAGATGGTTGCTGGGATACGTGTGAAGGGGGAGCCTGATGAGGTACTTGGCTGCCCGACATGCATACAAACCAAGTTCACCCGTTACCCGTTCTCTAGTTCGGCTAAGGCACCACTTGATGAGGCGGTGATGGACGTGGTGGGCCCCTTGAGGCTAGGAGCCAATGGAGCAGGGTAGTTCCTCACCATAGTCGACGTCTACACCCGCATGACTTGGGTGAATGCGCTGTACAAAAAGAGTGATGTGGTCGAAACAATGAAGACTCATTGG